TTTTTTTTTTTATTTTTCCCCGTCAATTTCATTGATTTTCTATTCTGATCTTTTTAACTTCCTTTCTCATGCTAGCTTTGGTTTTGGATTGTTCCTGTTTTTCTAGAGTCTTCAAATATCTCATTTGGCTTACTCTGTTTTTATTGTGTGGCATTTACGGCTAAATACTTTTAAGACTGCTTTCATCATGTCTCATAAGTTCTGGTATGTTCTCCAAGCATTATCATTTAGTTCTAGAAACTTTCTTACTGCTTCCTTGATCTTTTCTGTAACCTATTGATAATTTAAGAATGTATTGTTCAGTTTTTATGTATTCGTGTAATTTGCATGTCTTTTGCTATTGATTTCTAGTTTCATTGTCCTATGATCTGATGAGGTACATGATATAATATCAGTTCTTTTATATTTCTTACAATTGTTTTATTCGCTAGTATGTGCTTTGTTATGGAGAAAGTTCTGTGTGTTACTGAGAAAAATGTGTATTTTGTTGTCTTTTCGGTGGACCACTCTGTAGATACCTATTAAATCTACTTGTTCAAAGATTTTGTTCAACTCTGATAGTAGTTTGTTTACCCTTTGACTAGTTGATCTCATTGTGACAATCAGGTATTGAGGTTCCCTACTGTAATTGTGTTTCTGTTTTCTGATCTTTTATGCCCTATAGTACCTGCTTTATGAAGTTTGGTGCACCATCATTTGGTGCTTGTCTGTTAATTGTTTTCTTCTGTTGGGTTATTCTTCTAACGAATATTAGCAACCGTGTTAGCCTCTTTTGACTAGCTTTAGCTTAAAGTCCACTTCGTCTAAATATGAAGTAGTTATTCTTGCTTTTCTGGGGGGAGGTTCCCTTTGCATGTACTGTTGTTTGATTTTTTAGGTTTTTTCTTTTTTTTCATCGTATGTGCTTTGTATACAGTATACCTTTGGATTTTATTTCTTGAGCCATTCTGCCTGTGTTTTTTAATTGAGAAATTAAGACATTTATATTGACAGTTATGATTGATAGGCACTGATTTGTTCTTTTTATTGTCTTGTTTTCCTATTACTGATTCTCTGTTTTTCCTTGTGCTTAATTGCTCGCCCTTAATTGCTCACCATAGTACATTCATTCTGTTGGATCTTTTGTCATTGCTGTTTCATTGCCTCTAGAATATCTTTGAGAGTTTTTGGAGTGCCTGTTTGGTGGTCAAGAATTTCTGTAGGTACTCTTTATTGTAGAAATATCTTATTACTCTATCAGTTTTGAAAAGTAGTTTTTCAGGCTGTAATATCCTGGGTTGGAAGTTGTTTTCTTGTACTGCTTGCAACAGTTCATTCCAAGTTCTCCTGGCCTTCAACAGCCTTTGTGTTGAAGGCTGCAATTTTAGTGGTTTTACCCTTATAAGTGACACTTTGATTTTCTCTGACAAGTTTTAAAATTCTGTTCTGTTTTGGGTTTCTGGAATTTTGATTGTGATATGTTGTGGCTATTTGGGGTTTTATGTGCCTCACTTACTGTTGTTTATTTTCTATAAATGGATATTATTAACACAATATTTTCCAAAAGACAACATTCTTAATCTTTGATATGGAGTAACAGAATAAATTCACTAAAGCCCATGTGCTTTAAGACCATGTAATATTTTTAAATGTGTACATGAAAACATTACTTTACTAAATGATTGACAGTATTACATTTTCTTTTAATTCTACCTATTCAGTTGGAAAAGAGTAGTGGTATATCCTAGTTATACTGAAGTGTGTTGTATTTATTTATTTATTTGCAGAAGTAGCACTGAGAGGCCAGGATATGCTTGGAACTTTCTTTGTCTAGGAAAGAATATTGCTGAATAGAGTATGTGTGCTCACAGATGGATTCAACTATTGGCTCACAAGTACTTTTTTGAATTTCTTCAAGCTTCCTAGACCATTGTTTGGCTCCTGGTCGTCTTTGTTACTATTTTGTCATTTAGGCAGAAATTTTCTTTTCTGAACTTTGCATGACTTACAGATTTACATCTGGTCCATGTTTTCACTTGTTGTCTAGTCAGGTGTGATTGCAAATGTGTGTGTTCCATGAAATCCCTCCTTCATTTCTATTATAGATTGGGGAGCTTTCCCTTTCCCCTTTTAGGGGTGATGGTTTATTGAGCACACATAACTTATTTTCAGAACAAAATTATTATTTTAATTTTCAGTCTATCATAAAAGTTAAAGCTATTTGCAAGATCAGTCCTAGCGGATACATTTCTTTCATAATTTTAAGTCAAATTTGATGAATAATACATTTCTTTCATAATTTTAAGTCAAATTTGATGAATAATTTATAGAATAGTGAAAACTGTCTTATTTTAAAGTTTAATGGAAATGTAAGCCTGATTATGTCAAATGAGTTTGTTGCACAAAAGTATAAATGATGGAAGTTGCACTTTAAAAAAACAAAATATTTTGGTGATCCATGTAATATTTCATTACAGGTTATTATATAATAAAGTTCTTTCAGTTGAATGACAAACTGGAAGTAAATAATCATATTTCATTTTTCCTTAGAAATATTTTGACTACTTACTGATTTTTTTTTAAAGTGTTTTTTTTCACTAAGTTGCCTTGGCTGACCTCAAACTCATGATCTTTCTCATCAGCCTGCCAACTTGCTGGGCCTATATGCATTTGTGTATATGCCCAGCTTCAATTCTTGTTTTCTCAAAAAAATTTTAGTCATTAATTAATTAATTAATTGCTATGCAGCTCAGACTCTTAGTGATCCTCCTGTCTCAGTCTCCCCAGCACTGGGATTACAGTCATGTGCTACCACGCTTAGTTTTGGTGGCCAACACAAAGTGCCCAGGGTTCCAGGGCTGGCACACAGCATGCAGAACCAGGGATTCAACCCAGATCCTTGCGTTTGCCAGGCAGGTCCTTAGACCACTGAACTATATTTGCCCTGCCCCTCAATTCTTTTTTTTTTTTTTTTTTTTGTGGGAGAACTGGGGATTGAACTATAGAACTCAGGCCCGTGTACTTTTGAGGGAAGCGCTTATTCCACTGAGCCATTCTTAAACTATGCTGTTTTTGTCTAAGATACCTTTATTAGTCGGAAATATCGTGTATATTGTTACTTTTACATCTTCACTATTAGAGCCTGGTGTGCTATTTTATTGTCTCTTTGCACATATCCTTTAATGTCTACAGTGATTATGAAATGTCTATCAGCTTTGTTCCGTTTCCTATTATGGGTGATAAATAAAAACTATGGAGTGAGTGAATATATTTAGTGAAATGTAAATGCATACTGTAGAATGGTGTGTCTGAGCTTTTAAAAATACCTTCTTAAAAGATGATGCAACTGTTTGGAATTAGAACATAAATGAAATATTTCACTGCTGTGACACCCTTGTAGGTCACAGTTGGTAAACTTCAGCTTGCTGGTCTGCTACCTGTTTTTGCAAATAAGTTTTTATTGGAACATGGCTGTATTTGATCATTTTTGTTGGGTTGCTTTTGTACACAGTAGGAGAGTTGAGCAGTAGCCAAGACACTGTGAGCCACAAACAAATCTTTCCCAGCTGACCCTTTACAAAAAAGTGTTTAGCCAACCCTTCTAGCTAATTCTCTTATTTTCCTTTTCTGAAAGTTATTTTGTATTTCAGTCTTTAAAGTATTTTACATGATAGGGAGTAATTTATGAATGATGGTAGATACTAATGAAATAATATCTAGGGTTTTTAAAAACTTTCTAAATAAAATAACATTATTTCAGGATCTTACTATAGATTTATAAAAAGATGAGGATAGAAAGATTTACTTTATCACTAAGAATATAGTACATACCATTTTTTTTCCCTTAGGAGACTGTAAAAGAATGAAAGGATCTCTAAGACTGATCATGAAGTGTCTATCCTTATAAATACAGTTAAATTTCCTAAAGCAAAAAAGCTAAGAAACAAAAATTGGGCTTATTTGATTGTGACAGTATGTCAGAAATTGGTTCTTATAGTTTACACACCATTATCTCATATCTTTAAAGACCGCCCCCCCAACCCTTGTATCAACTTTTTTTTTCTACTAAGAAAATGTTTAGGAGCTGGAGATGTGGCTCCGAGTTAAAGTTCTTACCTTGCATGCAAAGGCCCTGGGTTTGATCTCCAGCACCACCAAAAAAGAGAAAAGTTTGTAAAAAATAAGGTTATGATTCACCTGTCAACTGTCTTTGACCCTTAATATTCTTCTCTTCTGAATCATATGGTATGGACTATGATAATTCGGTGTACATTCTTCCTATAAATCACAGATATTATAGTAAAGATTTACTTAGGAAAGATTTTTTAAAAATTTATTTGATACAAGGTCTCGCAGTACAATTCAGACTCATAGTGATCATCCTGTCTCAGCCTGTCCAGCACTGGGATTACAGGCCTGCGCCACCATGCCTCGTTTCAGGGCCGACACAGCATGGCACGCCCAGGGTTCCAGGGCCAGCACCACATGTGGTACTAGGGATTGAACTCAGGTCCTTGCGCTTGCCAGGCAGGTGCTTAAACTACCGAGCTATCTCCCCAGCCCCTTGAGAAGGATATTTGGACTTGAGTTTTATTTTGTGCACATTGTTAAGAATCATCTATTTTTTAAAAATAGTACAACTGAATCTGTCACTCGAGTAAGAAAAGTGTACCTCTGAAAACTGTGGCAGATTAGGTCCAATTCAATGCTGGATGCGCTGTCTGTATGCCACTTCCACAGTTTGGAGTGAGAAATGTATGCTGTGATCTGCTGACTATATTCATATTACCATTTCAACTTTTGCTAATCATTGTAGCCACCTTTATTTCATTCCATAACTCTGAGGGCAGATTTTAGTTTATACTGATATAATTAGCTGACTTGGACACTTGAATGTAAACGCATAAAAATTCTTATTTTCATGGAAAAATTTCCCATATAAATGGTGAAGCCAAATATTTAAATTAGGTCAGTTTTTAAAAACTTATTTTTAAAAGTGTTTTGTCTTCATTTTTTTCAAGGCCAGGGGAGCAGATGTTCCAGAGATTCCTGGAGATCTTTCTCTTAAGACATGTGGCAGTACAGCAAGTATGAAGGTTAAGCATATGAAAAAGTAAGTATAACTTCAGAATGGGCTCTGAATGAATTCCTGTAAATGGAAACCAGCTCTCTAGCTCTTATAACAAATATTTTGTTTGGCTCCCCTCACTAAATTAGCTCTTACTATCAATACACTAAATTATGCTGTTAATTCTTAAATTATGACTTAACAATTAATGGAATAGGCCTGCACATTATTTACTTTTCTAAAATTATGTTTAGTTTTATTCTGAAACGCATTGTCTACTAGGTGTGCATTTGCTTGTTTCTAGGGACAACCCAAGCGTGTGTTTCTGGATGCTTTCATTGCACACTCTCATTTGTTTAGAAGAATCAGTGTTGTTGAGTTGTGGATTGCTAGATTTGAGGTTTGCCCCTGAGAAGTGACTGTTAAGTGAAATACCTGAAGATTTCTTGGGCAGTTTTAAGCAGGGAAAGCCTCTTTTCCCTTGATCAAAGAGGCGTAGTTAGCCAGTATGATTCATTGGTTAGCAGAGGAAAGACAAAGATAAAAATGTTCTTCTGCACCCAGGTCCACCACCCCAGGACTGATGGGCTGTGACAACATTCACAGGTAATGTCTGGCTTTGTACCTTGTGTTGTGAATGGTGCTTCTGGTTAGAAGCTGGTGGTTCACAATTAGTTTTCATAACAGTCACAGAATGTATAGTTTTTCTGTAGGCTCTGTCTTGGGTAAAGATTAGGAGACATAGTGAAGTTTTTAAATTTTTCATTTTGGTATAGCTTGTGCACTAAATGTAGTTCTTATTGGATTCTTGGTGTATTTGAAAAGGTTTTTATGGATGTAGATGGCTTATGTGCATGTGCTCATTAAGTATTTTTGCTTGCATGAGCTCTTTAACTTATGCATTTCCCCCTTAGACTTAGTACTGTAGACTTTTCCCACTATCTGATTTTATATTTGTTTTCCTGCACTTCAGGTTGCCCTTCACTAAGGGTCACTTTCCGAAGATGGCTGAATGTGCACATTTCCATTATGAGAATGTTGAATTTGGCAGCATACAGGTACATTTAGAATACTTACTTCCTGAATTACAGTAACTGACAGGTGATACTGTGAGTTGTGTTTTTAAACTATTGATGTTTATTGCTTGAGGTGAAATTTTTTATTCTCTTGTATTGACTAATACTTGATGCCAAGTTGATAGATATTATTAGCCATCATATTAGCATATATGAATGAACACATTCACAAAGGAGCTGTAATCCCTGTGTCACAATATAGGGCAGCTCTGATTTGAATGTGTTACATTTCTGGCAGCTTGAATCAGCAGTGGTATATGCATGACTATCCCTTTGGGCTACAGGGGACAGTCATGTCAGGTGGTATAAATTGCCAAGTGGGACATTCATGCATGTGCCATCGGTGGTTCAAGGAGGAATGTGTTAAGGAAAGTCACTGCTTTTTTCATCTTTTGCCATGTATTATGCCCTTTATGTGTATGAGTTGTGTATTGCTAATAGCTTTCCATTCTGAATTTAGGTAACTTCGCCAGTGCTACCTTTTCTTAATTAATTACTAGGTATATTGGTGTTTGACAGATTAAAGTGTTTCCATTTAAATCCTCATGTTTAGCTGTTATTAATCTTCACGTTTATATACAATTGCAAAATCTGTCTTGTTGGCATCAGGAGTAATACTTTGAGTTATTTTGTTGGCAGCTTAATGTGAAGAAATTATAAATAAAATTTAAAAATAGGCAGATTGTGGTTAATTTAAAAATTTTATTTTCTCAAGGGAACAAAAGCCATTCTTTATGTTGTTTTTCAAAGTAGGCTAATAGAAAAAAATCTTGATCTTTTCTTTTTCACCTGCTTCATATAGAGACTGTCTAGTCTCTGCCCATCTCACTAACTCTGATCTTTCTCTAAAAGTAAACTTATGAAACACAAGTAATACTACAGCACAGTGTGCTATTTTTGGTGATTTTATTTCCTTAATAAGTAATATGAATTCACTATACGGGATTTATGGAAGCCTAGGAGATTTCAGTTTCTGATAAATTGATGGTTTAAAAAAGCATTAGAGATTTATAATGCTTGACTACCGTGGTGTCAAACAAAGGACGTTTTATCTCTTTAGGGTTTATATCTTTGGGGTTACAGTTATAATGATAAAGGTGTTAGGACAGGAAGAGCTGATTGAGAAACCAGCAATGAATATATTTTTAATTTTGTGACCAGAAAGTGTTTGAGTGATTTAGTTTACAGCTTAGAATTTAGGTAAATTATTTCTGAGTAAATTTGCTTTGTGTTTTTTTAAGTTTTACAAGGTCAAATGGGTTCTTTTGGAAGCAGTAGAATCTGAGAAGATTGTATTCAACATCGTAAAAAGAAATAGATGACTAGAGATCTAAAACCAAATGAGGAAAGTATTTAATACTTGAAGAATAGACGAAGAACTCTCTAGGAAATGTAATTTTAAATAAAATGAGACTATAATTGTAAGTATGGGCTGTGGAATAGAGAAAATCCTTGGATTTAGGTAGCCAGTAGGGATTCTAATTTTCATTCTGCTTCTTAAGAAGTTTGAGACCTTGGGCAAGCCCTTTAGCCCCTTTTGTTTCATTTCCTTCATTGAGGTAAATAAGTATGTGATACATAAGAGGATAGTTCTAAACTTTTATTGTTTTGTTTTACATTACAAGTTTATAATATAGGTGCTGAGAATGTGAATAGGGAATAGGAAGTACTGAGCTGGATTTTGCTGTCTTTAGAGATTGTGTTAAATGCTTGCTGTTCGGGTTCAATCCCCTTAGTGTGTCTAAAGGTCTTGTTAGGTAGCTCAGGCTGGTCTTGAACTCAGTGGGTAGCCCAGGCTGGCCTCAAACTCATATTGATCCCTTGCTCAGCCTCCCAAGTGCTGGGATTACAGGTATGTGCCACTATGCCCAGTTCAACTATGTCTAATTCTTACTAGGGAGCACATTAGGTAGGCTTTCTACTAGTGTGTTTATCTCTAATATTCATTTTGGGAGATTTGTTCAAGTTTTCACCCTTCACCTTGTACTAATTTCTACTCTGTAAACATTTCTGATACTTCTCAGATAGAAGAGAAAATGAGATATGACATTAACTTCATCTGTGAGATAGTTGAGTTTTTCAGATTTGTGTTAATCATGGAGGAAGCTTCTTGGGTATGGGAATACCAGTTCATGCGACTGACATCTAGCTGATGTCTCTGCAGTTTTGTTCAGATGCCTAATCAGCATCTCAAACTTAACACTGCATTTGGAGTGGTTCACAGGAAACTGTCCAGCTGTACCTTGCCAATTCGCTGCAGAATCTTCTCTGTGTGCCTGTTGTGATACAGGGGACAACTCTTATGAATAGTCTATTCTCCTGCTGGTTTTGACCTGACCTCTTCTGTTCTGTGTCTGTGGAGATGCACGTCTCAGCACATTTCCCAGGTCTGGTTCCCTTCTACTCTGTTGGGCACAGCCCATGGCTGGTCCTATTAAGAAGCAAACACTAATTTTCATTAACTGAGTTGACAGTAGCAGCAACCTGGCTTGACTTACATATTTATATTCTTTTACAGGGGTAGCAGCTATTCTTGCTTTAGCTAGTACATGATATTATATTTTATAGTTTTATATTTTATTGTCTGATTGAATGGCACTTAGAAACCAAAAAAAGCAGTATTAACCTCCAGACAGTCCTACATCCCATATATGTAGTTAGAAGGTTGATATGTCTTCATTCATATTGTTTTTCACTTAATAAATATATTACCTTTTATGATAGACAAATCCTAATACATTTGATTACAAGCCTGTTTATGGAAAATGAATCCTATATTCCTTTTTATTCTCAGTATAAGACTGGAAAATGTTCTGAGAGGGAAGCAAGAAAATAATTTTTCAGCTGGAAGGAACAATGGCTGTCAACAATAGCTCTTTTTGAACTGTAGTACCTTCCCAGTGTGAAGATAAGGAAAACAAGACCAAGTAACTGAGGATGTCCATGGTGGTAAAAAGCAATATGCAAGGAGAACACATGGCCAGCTGGCCCCCCATTCCACACCACCCCCACACCACCATCATTCCTCCTCTGCATAACAATGCCATCTCACAACTCAGTTCTAAGTGAAGGTACTGAACTGAGATTTTAACAAGTCATTTACAGTTACATAAATTGCCTAAGGTCACTGCCAGAGAGAAGCTAAAAAAGGATTTGAACAGATTTGTTCCATCTAAATTATGTGTTGCCAACCCACTGGAAAATTCAGTAAATATTTGAATGAACAGAAGAATGAGGTGGTTGCTGGATGCAGGATCCTGTGAGGGCTTCTTTCCGGGTTCTTGGTGTCTTGAACAGAATATTGGACAAGGCACGCAGAAAGCACAGTGAGGATATACGTTTATTGAATGTGGAAAGTTCACTGAAATAGGGCAGGAGCAGGCTGGTGAAAAGGCTTTCGCCAGCCCAAAGGATAAGAGGAAATCGGTCAGTTGTATTCAGAGTTCCTGGCTTAAATCCAGGCCTGTGTAATCCCAGCCCTGGGAAGCTGAGGCAGGAAGATCACTGTGAGTTTAAAGTCAGCATAGGCTACATAGTGAGTTCAAGGCCAGTCTGAACTACACAGTGGTAGCCTGTTTTAAAAGAAATTCCTGGTTTGACCTTTCTCTCATGTAAATAAGCAGTTGGAACATCTGTTCTGTGAAAACTCATTTGGCAGGACACCAGGTATAAATTATCCTATCAGAAAAACTTGCTTGGTTTCCCAGCAGATGTAAATAAAGAATCAGAAGCAGTATTTCTTAACTGGTTGTGCCCACATACAAATGAAGAATTAAGAGGAGCTTCTTCTGACTGGTTCTGTAGACAAATAGTGCCAGATTCAAATGAGGGATTGAATGTAGCAGTTTTCTGATTGGTCCGTAGTGCTTAACCAAAAGTGTAGCATTTTTGGATCCTGTGTTGTGTACATGTCTTTTCTTTTTATGAACCTTGCTCAGCCTGTTGTATTTTTATCACCTTTGACAAAATTAGATGTCTGGTGTGCCCTGGCCCTAGCTTTCTATCTCAAGATGAATGTCTAAATGAATTTATGTTTCAAGAAGAGACAGTTGCTTTTTTATTTATATTTATTTATTTTTGTATTTTAGGGAAGGGTCTACAAGATGTTAAGGATCTCACTACTAGATTGGACTCATAGTGATCCACCTGTTTACAGCCTCCCAAGAGCTGGGATTATAGGCACACGCCACCACGCCCAGTCTCAATTGCCCTTTCAGCGTGCCCCGGGGCGGGGCCGGCACAGCAGGTCAAGCTGGGGGATCAAAGCCCTGGCCCCTGCACCTGCTTGTAGGTGAGGTGAGCTATTTGGCTGGCCCTTAGGTAGTTAACTTTTAAAATGTTGTTTTGCTGTTCTGATTTTACTCTTTAAGTTTTGGTTGTACATGAATGTATATCCCTTATTATTTATTTATTGTAGAACATCAGATGGAATAGATGAAAAGAAGTGCAAGTACAGATGTTCTGTTAACTGTTGTTTAGAACTTTTCTGTATACTTAAAAATATGGTATTTTCTATAAATATAGCTATAGAAATGTAAATGAAATATTACACATTGCCTTGGAACTACATTTTTACCCAAAAGTATGTATATCTTGGATGTGTTTGGCTATTTTAGTACTTTGGAATTTTTTCATAGTTGCATAGTATTTATTTTAAACTGTATCATTATTTAGTCATTTATTGTGAGATATTCCAAGTTTTATTCATGTGACTCTCTCCATTTAATAAAATAGTATGAGTTGTTTTATTAGATCAGAAAGTATATGCATTTCAGATGTTTACATTTTTAATTTTTTTATATGATACAGGATCTCACTACACACTTCAGACTAATAGTGATCTTTCTGTCTCAGCCTCCCTAGTGCTGGGACTATAGGTGTGCACAAGGAACCATGCCTGATTCCTGGGCAGGCACAGCATCCGGTACCGGGGATTGAACTCGGGACCTAGTGCTTGCCAGGCAGGCGTTCATGCCGCCAAG